CTAGCTGCGCAAACTTTCGATATGCTGCAATTTATAGTGTGACCGGAACTGCCACTACCGATGGACCAACGGACGTATTTCCTTCTTGTCAAGACTTTCCTTCCCTTTGCAGGGGCCCTTATAGCTCATTTGGTCAAGCTCTTCTCTAGAGCTTGTCCCTGCAGGAGCGTTTGGCCAACTGCCGCTGCTTCATTCTCCTTATTTATTTTTATATCAACCAACGAATTTAGTTTTCCAGTTTCTTACTCTGTCAGATTCTTAAGGAATTTCCTCGGACATTTTGGAAAATTGAAAAGTTGTATTTCGCTGAGTACCAGGAAAAACTGTAGAAATACAGAAATATAGGACTTAGTGTTTCTTTTTGTAACCTAGTAAAGCACTGTGCGTTTTCATAAAATTTGAAAGTGAATCAATGAATAAAATAACGTTCCTTACAAAAGGAGATCCAACTCAGCGTTTTTAAAGTTCCCAAGGAGTTTCCAATCAAGGCAGTCATCAGAGGTCGCCACTCAAACACCACTGTAGATGACATAAAAAAGAATTGTTGACCAGTTTAGTCAAGCAAAAGCTAGAATCGAAAAACTTCCGATGTTCTTTGTCGAAGGACTGACAAAGGTAAAAAATATTTAAGATCAGGAGAGTGTTATCTCTCCAAACAAATGTAAGATCCTACAAAACAGGAAAGCATCCGATTATTTCAGAGATCGGGGTATGTATTATTCGAATGTTTCACTGTCCGCATTGCTTTAAGTATATATAAAACCACCTTGCCTGTACTTTGCTGAGAGAAGAAAAGCCATATGCCTTAGATGCATAGGTGATTAATTTTGGAATTCAAAAGTTTACCAGGTATTTCTGAAAATATATGACAGATGAAAAAATGCTAAGGACAAACAAATATTTTCAACAGAACTTAAATACACGAATGAATCATTTTGAGTTCCTCTAGCAGTGTGACCGAAAAACTTCCATTCGCTATTAAAGACTTGTTGCAAGATAGAAGAACCTGAAATTTCCTTAAGAAAATCATGGATACTGCAAAAAAATGCAAAAGAGCAAAGTCTCCGATAGAAAAACTAAAACTTGCACTACATTTATTTATTATAGAATACAGATTTGCACCTGCACACACTGACGACTTCTCCGTGTCATAACCACAAGCCAGCTCAAATTGAAGTTTGACCAACACTAGTTGATCCCTACATAGGATAAACTGCGACTACTGGAAGGAATTAATTGCTAATTAACGGATCTAGTTAACATACTGTTAAGAACTTTGTATATAGATAGATAATTTTAATGAACTTATATGCGAAGTTGTTGTATTTCTTTTTGTATAATGTAAAAAGAAAACCTAAAGGAACAAAGCTTACAGGAAAAGTAAGAATACAGGGACAAGTCTTTTTAACATTGAGTAAACAGCTATCTCGCTAATTTGGCAAACTGTCCCCAAATTGGCAACAGTTTTCGTGACTAATTTAATTTGGTGTGGCGACCATTTCGCGACATTTGGTTCCGGTACCTGTATCACCGTAATAGGTATTGCAGTTGTGTAACTGTAATTGATATAAGATATTCTGTAACCGTCCTCGACTTGCCTTCCAGTAATTTCAAGAAGTAATAGAACAATTTCAGCGGCGGCATGAAATCTCTAACAGGCTAGAGAGAACATCTGCCCCTAGTTGTTTTTATAGGTTATTTGTGCTGATTCATCATATTTGGACTATGATCCTTTCAATTAAATATATTGTAGACCAATTAGTGAATTAGGAGGATTAAGCAGAAAAAGAAGGATTAAAGTTCGATATTTAAAAGACAAACGCTGTGTTCTTTCTCCGTGCAAGAAAGCAGACACGAGAACCAAGGTTGAAATATAAGAATCAGAGAATAAAGTTTAGAAAAGAAATTAAATATCTTGGTGTAATTGTGGATGATAAATTAAATTTTATTTCAGATTTTAATATGGTTCATAAAAAATCAGAATATATTTTAAATTATTACAGGAGGAACTTCCCCAGTGAAATTCTGTCATACGGAAAATTATCAAACCATAAAATCATCATTGTCTATGAAAAATGCCGTAATAAGGTCAATCTACGAGAATGTTGTGATTCCTCGAATTATGTATGGCATAGGCGTATGGGGTTGCCGGGCGGAGGAGCTGGTTAGACTTCGTATGAAACTGGAAACAATGCAGAGAGCTTGGTTACTAAAGCTTACGAGATGTTTCAGAACGACCTCTACTGAGGTTGTTTGTATCCTAGCCGGTATGCCCCCTCTCTCCAAACTATTTGTTTTTTATTATGATAAATTTCGTTTAAGAACTGGAAATATTGATTTTAAATTATATGGAAATTCTATTGTAAGACGGTGTGCTTTTGAAAAATTTGATTTAAATTCGATCAACCCTGCTGAAAAGATTTTTATTCCGTATTATTTGGATGCTCCAAAAATAGGAGAAATTGACATTTATACAGACTGGTCAGGACTGGGAGACGCCACTGCTTTCGCATATGTTATACATTCTTATGGAACAGAGATTGAGAATAATAAATTTAAATTCAGTATTTATAACTCAGCAGAAGCTATGGCTCAAGCAGAAGCTATGGCTATTTTTATTCACTGAAATGGATTAAGAAAGTTCTTAAAGGGAAATATGATATGCATATTTATTCTGACAATATGACAGTCCTTCAAGCTTCTCACGACCTGATCAAGACAACCCTTTAATGGTAGATATTAGAGAATTGAAGACTTGAGGGAAGATCAAAATATTGTGTTTAGTTCGGTGAAGGCACACGTTGGACATTTTGGAAATGAGAGGGCAGACGCACTGGCCAAGGAGGCAATTACCAATGTTAATGTTCGAATTATTAATGTCCAGGGATTAACAAGGAAAGCTGTGATTATTATGAAATTTGTATTTATGATAAAGGAGGGAGGAGTGGGAAAGGTCAGATCGAAATAAAGGTTATCTGAAATTTGTTAAACTTAAAAAAGGCTTATGTTATTCACACATTGACGTCATCCAAATCATTACAGGTCATGGCCGTTTTTCTTTCTATTCTAAAAGGTTTAAATTACAGTAGTCTGACCTCTGTGATATCTGTAAAGAACCGGGCACTTCGGAGCATTATGTATAAACATGTAAATATTTTACTGATATCAGGAACGAGTTTAAGAAAAATGATATTTTTAATATATATATTTTAAATGATTTTAAAAGACTGAAAAAATTTGCCAGGAAAATGATGGAGAAGATTATATCTACTAATATCTTGGTTTAATTGTGGATGATAAATTAAATTTATTAGATAGATAAGCTTGCAGTAGGGATTTTAATTTTAATTTTGTTTTTTAGTTATGGTCTTTATGTTCGTTTGTTGAAGGTGTTGTTTCTAGCTTGCTCTGGCGCAGCCAGAAAGGCCATAGGGCGACATTAAGTGTGCCAGGAGGGTCGGGATGCGTCACTAATATTATATCGTAGATCATTCATTTTTCATGATCAGTGGTAATTCGTTTCAAAACCGCGTCGATTGCATTATGTCTGAAATGCATACCACTAATATTGATTCATTGTGATCAACGAAATTCTTTCAATTCATACTGAACCAAAACATCCGGCTTCTTAACGAGTCCAAGATATCTTGCGAGATTTCCAGTTGGTGTTAGTGAAGTATTTAACCTTTTTGCAATCTCTCGTACAATTATACGACGATTTGATAGACTTTCGGCTTTGAATTTGTGCTCAGCATCTTCAGAAGGTCGGACAGAAAGAACGCTGGTCATGTGCAAGTGAAAAATCTCCGGAACGAGATTTTTAAACCGATTCTGATATATGCATTCTGTTAAGTAATCAACACCTTTAACTTCACATATCTCTTTTCGAGTCCCAGCTGCTTTCTTTCCTTTATAGAAATAAAACGTAATGTGTGTCGAAATTGTTTATTTTTGCATTCTATGATAAAATTGAGAGTGAACTAACAGTTGTAAACAAAAATAAACAGAATTTGTGTTTATAACAACCTGTATATGATATTGTATTCTTTGAAAGTGTCAAATACCAAATATAAAAAAAAAGAAAAATGAGGTTGAGAGAAGAATAGCAAAACAAACATAACGCTATCTATTTATGCAAACAGAAATTATTCTTTTGCCAACCCAATTAAATAATTATCTCAAACCTCGTATTTACTAAAAGTCTAAGAGCACCTAAAGATATTGTTTAAAATTAAACATATAATTTATGACAGACAATGTAATGACCGACAGGTGAATAAAATTTGATCTCCAGTATTAGAGTATAATTAGAAAAAACCTCTTCTGTTGCTTATTTCTACCTACATTCTTTTAATTACTGTCTTACTAATTTACAATTTTGCGTTTCTAAACAGAGCTTCATTTACAAACAAATTAATTATTAACTAAGGTAATTACAGGAACTAAGTAAATTAAAGGAAAGAGAACTTAAGATTAAGACTTATTTCAAAGTAAATTTAGCGATAAAGTAGAAAGCAAAAACTCATTTATTTTACTTAATTTTAGTACAAATTATTATTACAAATAAGTTAAACCATTAGTACTTGGCAAAATTGAATTCTGTTTTGGCTAGTGACTTCAAAAAGCGAAACTCGTTAATTTGGAATCCGAAGATATTAAAGATGAGATAGAACTGGTAGGATCAAAGGATATTCTGAGATTACTTGCTAGTGAGTTCTCTCAACAACAGTTCTGCCAACATTTCTGGCAACTGACAATTTCGACTAAGAAAAGTTAAGTTAGAGTTATTAAAAAAGCAAATAATTATAGGCAAAATAGTTAATTCTTTTTTGTATAACAGCAGACCTAATGCTACAGCGATATGCAAATTAAAACAAAAATGTTTTGTGATCAACGAAAATGCAGAATTACACTGCAAGCGGTAATAGAAAATATTAAAATTTTTAAGTCAACTAAGTTATGATATGCTTTAAAGCATTTCTAAGAATGCAGAAATATACCTCCTTCGCCTTCGCACGCAAGAGCAAGAGGAAAACCTTCATTATAAGGCCCAATAACTCCATAAAGGTGTTGACCATACTCGTCCATAATGATTGCTTCCTTAGGAGGAACTGAAAAGCAAAACGAAAATATTAATATATTAAAATTATGTAAATACTTCTGTGAATTTCAACTTTTAATTCACAACCCTGATTTATTTATAATGAAAGCATAAGTATATTATTATATGTGTAAGCTCAGTTCATATTCCATTAATATTTAATGTGAAAAATAATAATACAATCAGGTTCTTGAAACAAATTATACATATTTTATGGTTTCATTTAATACCTTGGTATATTCTCCTTAAGAATTCCCTTTGACTGAATCTTTATGAAGTTAAAAAAAACTATATTACATTATTTCAATAGATTTCAATGCGTAGACATTTCGGTGTTTTTTTCCAATGACTAACATATTATCTACTGTAGAAATACACGCCTTGTGGCTATTTTGTTCCCCGCAAAGAAAGTTTAATTATGAATTTTTTAAATTAAAAAAAGCAGGATTATTCAGAAAATAGGGAAAAAATCAATTCGTTTCGATTCAATTTGAGTTATTTGATTTCAATCGTTATTTCCATTTTTCAGAATAATTTCTTTCTTTCTAAATAAATTATTCTTTATTTCTATAGCAGTATGCTGAGGAATTAATTGATTAATCAAAGGATAATAAATGATGATTTAAGTTTCATAATGATTAAATTTTGATTTAATTTTTGTCGCTTGATTATATATACATATATATAGAGAGAGAAGAAAGAGAATTATGCAATAAGTTATTCAAAGAAATAATATATTTAGGAATATATGTAACAGATGAATATATATATATATAGATATAGATGGACTCCGTCCCAAAACTATTGGTTCAGACTTTAAGGGAAGGTAGGGCACATCGAAAGGATTTAGAATTCCATATGAATTCATAATCGGAGCGTCGAGGGAAAGTCGTATCAAAGATACAAGAAATGAAATGACACAAGTCGTAGGTTACTGCAAGTATTTGTTGCTCACAAATTTTACATATGCTGTAGTAGATGATACCATTTCAAAATGTTTTGAAAAATGTTCGGAGTTTCCCCATTACAAATGAGGCATGTCTTAACCTACGGACACATGGCATGACGGCGAACGTGGTCAAAAACTAATGGATTCCCTTGGATGTCTGCAGCAACACAGATGATTCTTGCAATCAGATCCATTTCAGACTCGACAGTTGTTTCATATAAAATAGCTTTAATTGTTCTTCAGGCTTCTCAAATCCAGAGAGCGTGGGGGCGAGACTCGTCATGTTTAAATTACATGTTACATCTCGAATTCTGTGGCACCGGATGAGTAAGCTTGGTTAGAACCTGTTCGAAAAAAGATCATATAATTTGCTGATGTCATAGGTGATGGCGACGTGTAAGGTTCGATAAGTAGTCACCGAACAAACCAGCCCAAATATACAATGAGATGCGATGTTGGGCATCATGCGGATATGAGCTTCCCATTTGAATTTCCTGTGTTTACCGGTAAAGAAAGTTTGAATGTTTAATATAGTTATTGTATAGCGAAAAATGTAGAAATTCGTTCCATTTTCTTTGAGTGGTAGAGACATGTAGAGGATTTTTAAAGTTATATCATTGTACATTTTAAGATTTTCTAACTTTTTCAATGATTTTCAAGTTGTCGTTAATAATACAGCGGAACGTTTTGTCTTCTTTAACTTGTTCAAAATCTGTATTACAAATAGTTTTAATTAGATTGTAAAAATATTATCAAATTTCTTCTTGAAGGTTCTGGTATTATTGGCTATAAATCTAAATTTTACGGGATTTGTATGACATTTTAGTAAGGCATAGAGATTGGCAAATCTTCTATTTGTAGTGAAGTGAGAAATTCTAATTTTTTTTTTTTTTTTTTTTTTTTGAAAAGCACAAATTTTGAAAATGACAGTTTTTTTTTTATTTTTGCAGAAACTATAGGTAGAAGAATTTTTCCTTTCATTTTCATTTATATCGTGGTAGATTTTTTTCATAATATATATATATATATGTGTGTGTGTGTGTGTGTGTGTATAGAAAGAGACAGAACGAGAACTATAGATACAGGTATAGATAGGTTTTACTAAATTAAACAACTCTATTCCTCGTCTTCCCTTTCTATGCAAAGTAATATATTTAAGGTTCTTTTTATTGATTGATTGTATTGTGTATTTTTTTAAATTCAGAATTTATTTAGAAAATCTTTATTTCTATAAACTGTTTCTATAAATCTTATAAATAGACGAAGCACCAGCGGTGGAGGGGTAAAGTCGCTAAACACTGGTAGTTCGACTTCCGTTCAAATTTCAGAGGGGCTGATGCATGGACATTATAATAGTTTTTAATAGTTTCCTGCATGTGTAACATAGGTACGAGCCAAATTCCCTTAGAAAGTCCTGCAGAAAAATCATCCCTCCTGATAGGCAGATAACCTTCAAACTGGTTTGGCTTAATCTATTAAAACCTAACCTTAACTCACCCAGTCTTCTCTAACACAACACATCTAGATCGTACGATTATTAATAGCTAAATTTATGTTTATTCTAAACCCACAAAAAAGTATCCATGGATTATTTTACTAATATCATTATACCGAAAGATATATATAAAATACTTTTGAATAGTTTACAAAATCAAAGGTAGTATTTACAAATTCAGTGACACCCTCAAGAAGCAGGATATTGCACTAAAGTACTTGTCTCGTCCAATTCTTTTCCATGCATTTTAAAGTTTTTGCAGTTTATTTATGAAAATTAGATATAGAAATAATAGTTGTAAATTTCGATAAGGTAAAGACAGGGTGTTTAAAATGTATACAAGCATTCAAACAATTTGCAATATATTCTTCTTCTAGAGCTTATCTCTCCGCAAAGCCATTTGGCATGTAGTAGAAAAGCACTTGCCAGCCGTAGAATCTTGATAAAGATGTTCTGAAGCAAGTTAAAATGTAATCTGAATCTAATACAGACATATCCTCCTGTGCTAATTCGGAACAGATGCAAAAGTCTCCAAAAACATCTAAACGAATGTAAAACATTTCTCACTTAAACCAGATGCCCCAGTATTTATGATATTGTTACCATAAAAAAATAAGAAGTAAAGATAATTTTATTATCACGCTGATTCCTTTTTCTTCCTTCCTTTGACATTTTAACGGCCTTTTATTCCCACAGATACTGGGTTAACAAACATCAAGAATTTAAAATATATATATAAAAAAATATCTAACTGTAATGAACAAAATGAACTCAACGCTAGAAGTAAACTAATTAAATTTTGGATAGGATCCCTTTTAAAGCTTTCCATAAATATACAAGGAACATGATAACATAAAGGTATTTCATGCATGGCTGATGTAAATATCAGTTCTCGGCTTTAATCCTTCTTAGTATCTAAGAGATCAGGAAACTACAGTTTTCACTATATGAACGAGAAATCTTCTACCTAAACAGACACTAACAGCGTTAGTTAGTAAAGGTTTTCGAATATTACCCTAAGTCGTTTTTAATTAACCGAGCTGTTTAAAATCGATTTTTCACGCATACCAATTTTATCAAACTAGTGCCTTGTGCAAGGCGCATAAAATATAAAGTTTGACTCTTAAACTACTAAGACGATTTTTAGCTTATTCATCTTAAAATTTCCTATCGTCATACCTCGTTTCTCATAAATACTAGGAATAATTGTTTTACGAATTAATTCACACTTTTCGAGAATAATCAAGAGAATATTTTCTCAGATTTGTTACTAGCTCTTGAATAATTTTAACTAAGAATTTTAATTCGCGATTGTAATGAAAGTTCGTACTAAAAATCATTAAATTTCTTTTGATAAAATCAATTTGTTTATTTCAATTTAGATAATCATCATTACAAAGTTTTCTTAATGAAAGTATTCAGTTTACTTTGCAATCTATTATTATAACTGAAAAAATAAATTGCAAATATTGTGATCTATAAAATGGAACTAAATTACCAATTTACGAAGTAGACGGTGGTCGGACGGCATATCGTACGTAACATAATTTGAAAACAAGTAATATAAAATTTATACTTAGGTCAACATAGAAATATGGGAAGAATTTTCGGTACATAATGGGGCATTGCATCCACTTCATCCAACTCTATAAAACTAAAATTCTTTAATTCCATACACTTTAAAAATCTTTAGAGCTAAGTCTTACTGTTGCCACTTATTTTTGTTAAATATTATAATCCCATTTATCACAGTTATGTACTATTATTTATATGTTGCTATAAAATAAATTTTTACAGGATGTGAGAATTCCTAATAAACGGTCATTATTTGTAAGTCTTATAATATATTTTAAAAAAGCATATGTTTAGTTCCGATAAACAGGAATTAATAAGTAGGAATTGACAATATGGGAAAAAACTAAATTAACATCTAGTGTCATCCACTACAAGTTAAAAGAAACATATTTGAACTTGAGGGGATGAACAAAACATATTTTATTAACGATCGAAAATTTGAACAAGATATAGGGAGAGTGTGAGCTAATAGCAGGAATTAAAAATAAAAGAAATATGAGGAATTTTGTGATGATTTTGGGCTTTCTAAGACATGGTATCTATCTCCATACATTTTTGGCCTAGCCAGGAACCAGCTGTCTTACTTTTAAATAAGATATGTGACAATGCAAAAAAGGCGCCCAAAAATTGTTTGTGTAGTGAATTAGCACAAGCACTATTTACAGGTACAGGCAAACAAGGTTGCGTACCTGTAATTAATGCTTTTCCTTTATAATACGTTTCCTGTTGAAAAAACAAGCACATCGACGTTCAGTACGTTTCCTGAATTACTTCAATACTAATAAATAATATTATTAGTTTTGAGGTAATTCAGGAAATATGAAAAAACTGTATTAACATCAAGTGTCATCCACTACAAGTTTAAAAAATGTATTTGAACTTGAGTGGATAAATAAAAAGTATTTTATTAACGATTGAAAATTTGAACAAGATACAGGGAGAGTGTGAGCTCATAGAAGGAATTTGCAAAAAGAAGAGAAGTGGAAAAACA